AGGTTGGTCTTGTGACCCACAGCATATCTCAGAAGCAAAAGTATGTTCATTCCAGGATTAGGTTATGAAAGGCACTGGGGGTTGGGAGGGCAGCCTGCTTTGTAGCAGGTTAAGCTGTTGCCTTGGACGTCTCCATCCTATATCAGAGTGCCAGTTTGAGTCCCAGCTGTTCTGTGTCCTGTCCAGCTCACTGCTGATGCTCCTGGGAAGGCAGCAGATGATGACCCAACTAAATGGGCCCTGACACCCACATGGGAGACCCAGATGGAGTTCCCGGCTCCTGGCTTTAGCCTGGCCCAGCCCTGGCTATTGATGGCATTTGGGAAGTGAACCAATGGATGGAAGATATCTCTGCCTCTGTCTCTCCCTCTCTCTCTATCACTCTGCCTTTCAAATAAATAAATAAATAAATAAATCATTTTTAAAAAGACACTGTGGGCCTGGTGTTGTGGCATAGCAGGTTAAGCTGCCACCTGTGATGCCAGCATTCCATATGGGTACCAGTTCAAATTCCAGCTGCTCCACTTCCAATACAGCTCCCTGCTAATGGCCTGGGAAAGCAGAGGAGGATGGCCCAAGTGTTTGGACCTTTACACCCATATCGGAGACCCAGAAAAAGCTCCAGATTCCTGGCTTCTGCTTGGTACAGGCCTGGCCCTTTCAGCCATCTGGGGAGTGAACCAGTGGATAGAAGAGCTCTCTGTCTCTTCCTCTGTCTCTGTAACTCTTTCAATCAAATAAATAAATATTTAAAAAAGAAAAAAAAAGACACTGGAACTTCCATGTTGTGGTCTCTCGCTCTCCATCTCCTATTCACCCTCATCCCCTGCCTTTCTTCCTCTCCTCCTCTTCTCCACTCCCCCTTAATTGCCGTGTGGGTAGCTGGTACTTGCAAGGAACCAAGGCTTTGGCCAACAGCTATATGAGAAAGCCCGGAGGTGGACCACTAGTCTCCGTCATAGCTTCCCATGACTGTAGCCCTGGCCAACAGTTTCGTTACAGCCCCATCAGACCCAGAGCCAGAAATGCCCAGCTAGGCCCCTCCTAGAGTTCTGACCTACCAAAACTGCAAGAGAAAAAATGCTTGTTACAGAAGCTGCTAGGTTTGGGGTGATTTGCTGTGCTTCTGTAGGTAACCAGTGCACACTTCCACTAAGGCTCTTTTCATTCTTCAGGTTTTAACATCTGGTTTTGGTTATTATTATTTGTATTGTTAAACTTGTGATCCACACAGTTCACCTGAATGAGTCACTGGTTGGTTGAAAAATCCTGTATTCCATCTCCTGTTTGCCACAGTGTTTGCATGAGTACAGACTTGGAATTCACTTTCCCTATATTTGGCCTGATGTTAGGATGTACAATACTGAAAAGGACTATGCGACAAGAAAAAAGCATGGCACAAAAGGGGACCCAAAAAAGTCAAGCATTTTTAGATTATTCCATAGATCCTTTTCATTTGTAGGTAAAGCTGTCTGTTTAATTGAACTCATGATTACTGTGCAAGTGCTTGTGGAATTACTATAAAGTACTTCAACTAACACTGTTAGGCTGAAACTGCACCAAAGAAGCTGCTTGTCTATCATTCATAATTCTATGGTGCTTCTTAATTATGCAAGATAATCACAGCATGGGTTATTAAAAGTCCTGTTTGCAGGATTAGTTAACTATACACTCAAACCTGAGAAACAGCCTAGGCCCAGCTCCTACCCACCCATCCCACTTTCTCCGTGGTGTTCTGAAATACAAGTATTCAAGTTTATGTTTTTCATTTCCTTTTGCCTTATTAGAACAATTGCAGTAACACTAAACATTCCTTTGCTATCACTAGCCATTCAGAAATGATTTTCAATAATAAGAAATGAAAGTTAGAAAATTGGTATTTCAACCACTTAATGAGATTTTTTTCTCTTCCTTTTTCTAAGAGATTCTCTAAACATAGGTTTGTCTTTTTACTTATTTATTTATTGGACAGGTAGAGTTACATAGAGAGAGACAGAAAGAAAGGTCTTCCTTCCATTGGTTTACTCCCCAAATGGCCGCTACAGCCAGCGCTGAGCCGATCCGAAGCCAGGAGCCAGGTGCTTCTTCCTTGTTGTCTTTTTATTTTTTAAGATTTATTTATTTATTTGACAGAGTTAGAGAGAGAGACAGAGAGAGAGAGAGAGAGAGAAAGGTCTTCCATCCGCTGGATCACTCCCCAGATGGCTGCAGTGGCCAGAGCTGTGTCGATCCGAAGTCAGGATCCAGGAGCTTCTTCTGGGTCTCCCACGTGGGTGCAGGGGCCCAAGGACTTGGGTCATCCTCCACTTCTTTCCCAGGCCGTAGCAGAGAGCTGGATGGGAAGTGGAGCAGCCGGGATGCTAACACTGCAGGTGGTGGTTTTACCCTCTACGCCACAGCTCCGGCCCCTGTAGATTTGTCTTAGAACATGAATAGCTACAGCTAAATATCTTCATTGACTCGTGTGTGATCACTCAGGTTTGCCTACACAGTGGCTTTATTGCTTGCGTACACAGATTCATGCTGTGCATCACTCATATTTCCACTTGAGGGAAGACTTGTTTGGTCTCCTAAAATCCAGCCAATCAGAATCAGAGGAAATTTAGCATCCTTATCCTTACTGTTCTCATGGAACAGCAGCTGCTTTCTTATTTAAATAATAGAGATCCTCGGGAAGACTAGGAACAAGACCTTTGGACTCCAGGATTCTCAAGGTTTTATTGCCTGTCACAAAATGCACTTGCAGTGCCATGAGCATGAGCGTCCCTCGGGATCACACCCATCTAGGAGGGAGTCAGGCCAGTTTGTAAATCTGCTCCTGCACAAAATCAGATGTCTGCTTCAGCCAGGGGGGGACGCTGCAGCTGTAGGCAGAGCTGAGCAGGACAGGCCCTTCCTGGGAGCATGCACGGGACCCCTGATGGCCAGGGAAAGGCAGCAAAAAGAGCAAACAGATGTTCTTGATGAAAGGAAAACATGGTGATGACTCAGTCCCATGTTGTTTGATACTGTTGCTTTTAAAAATATAACTAGCTTTTTCATTTTGCTTTCTCCATGATTTAAAATAATAATCAAGGCTGGCACCGCGGCTCACTAGGCTAATCCTCCACCTGCGGCGCCAGCACCCCAGGTTCTAGTCCTGGTTGCCCATCTTCTGGTCCTGCTCTCTGCTGTGGCCCGGGAGTGCAGTGGAGAATGGCCCAGGTCCTTGGGCCCTGCACCCCATGGGAGACCAGGAGAAGCACCTGGCTCCTGGCTTCGGATCAGTGTGGTGTGCCGGCTGCAGTGCGCCAGCCACAGCGGCCATTGGAGGGTGAACCAACGGCAAAGGAAGACCTTTCTCACTGTCCACTCTGCCTGTCCAAATAATAATAATAATAATAATCAAAATGACTGGTTCAAGAATTGATCTGTTTCTCTATCCTAAATAGACTGGGGGCTATGTTGACATTTTAGTGAGAACTTTTTAATTTGGAGCTGCTGTCTTGGACTCTTTTAACTCCTCCCCTCCCCCACCTGCCATACACACACACACACACACACAAAGTCACACACACCTGTAATAAGGTTATAAAGAAACAGGTTTGTCTCTTCATGTTTCCGGTATACGAATATCATCCAAGTACTCTTAAAGTCACTGAAGATGGTTGTGGTTAAGCCAGAAGTGAAAGGCAGAGCTTCTAACTCTGCTTTGAACATTTGCCACCTGATAACAACACAGATTTGTAACAGAAAGTGATTCCTATAACTTAATCAGTGAAGAAGAAGGCGTCAGATTTCAACACTGAAACATTCTTCTGTGTTACTCCATGTTTGCTTTATTTTCTTGTGGATTTTTAAACATAGCCCTTGAATTGTGCCTTTTTTCTTTTTGTGTGGGCTCCGGTTTGTGGTCGGCAGTGCCAATGAAATCCTTTTTCAAAAGTGGATAAACAACAGCAGTTTACATAAACAGACTCAACTTAAAAGCTTAAAATTGTGATTTTTTTAAAAAAAAGTTTTCCCAAACCCTATATTAACACTTCAATTTTTAATATAAAATGCTTCAAAGCTTTTTTATGTCGATAGTAACCATTAGCGTCATTCTGCTTAACTGCATGTAATATATGATTTTCATAAGAAGTTGTACTTCAGACTCTTCCTAGAAGAGTTTTACAAATATCCAAGAATATCTTCCCACCCGCATTCTGATCGTGGCACCTCTGACCTGGCAGCCAGGCCCAACGCCCTAGACCAGGCTCCAAACCTTTGCCTACAGCCGCGTCTCACCTTCTCATCCCCAAAGCTTTCCAAGTCCTGATAGTGACAGAAAGGAGATGGGAGACAGCAACTGCATGGAGTCAGGAAGAGGGTGGAATTTGGCAAGAGACGGAAGGATTTGTCTGTATACCTCCAGATATGAGTGCCTGCACCCTCATGACCCACCAACGACAGAGTGAAGCTCCCATGTATAAATCACAAGTAGTCCTGCGTTATAATGCAAACATCTTTTACATGTCTTCTGGCACATTAATAGGTCTCTAAATATGTGAACTCATAAAATTATCACGCTTACATATTGTAGAAATGCACATGTCATAACACAGAAGGGAAAGATAAGATATACCTTCTGATAATAGAAACAGACCTAAGCAGAGGCGGTGAGCATAGTGGTTAAGGACACAAACTTTGAAGCCAGGCTGCTTGGGTTTGAATCCCGATTCTGGCAGCTTGCTAGATGAGTAACCTGGAACATCATTTATCCTCTCTAATAGTTTTCTCACCTGCAGATGACTGTAAATTCTTAGAATAGTGTCTAAGACATAGATGACTCTATAGAAGTATTTGTTCTTAATATTACTGCACCATGCCACCTTTCTAATGGTGCTTCTCTATTTAGATGGCTCAGTTGATTTGTAGTCAGCAGGTTACCACCTGGAGTGTATAATTTCTAGGTAAGAAATCCCCTCCTCAATTGTTTTAAAAAGCAAAACATTTGATTTTTTTTTTCCCTTTCCCAGGCCCAACACAGAGATACTTTCATTGAGGAACGTTATGGAAAATATAACATCAGTGACCCTTTAATGGCTCTCCAGAGAGATTTTGAAACACTGAAGGAGAAGAACGACGGGGAGAAGCAGCCGGTCTGCACAAACCCGCTGTCGATTCTTAAGGTGGTGATGAAGCAGTGCAAGACCATGCAGGAGCGCATGTTGTCCCAGCTGGCCGCTGCAGAGAGCAGGCACCGCAAGGTAGGCTCGCCTGGGTGCGGGAAGGCCCTGAGTTAGGCCTGAAGCCCTCACCCTGCTGGGTGTCAGAAAGACCCTGAGCTTCACATAGGAGCCAGGAATGGCAAACACAGTTACTCTAAGTGTTATGTTTAGGGAATGTGCCAAACACATTCTTTCGGATGACTCTGCTTCTTGATATGTCACTCCAACACACTTGATGTGTTTTCCCAGCCCTTGATCATCCAAACTGGGGTTTGGCCAAACCTGTAGCTGAACACAGTGTTCTCTGTTTGCTTACTTAAGTGATAAATAGAAAGATGGACAGGTATTTGGGGAATGCTGTGTCCCAGAGAAAGAGAGAATTTACCTGGCTGTAAACACACAAGCCCAGTAGATTATTTTCACTTATTCCTGATTTGGAATTTCATTGCTTTTTACTGTTCATGAAACCATAAACAGTCTCTAGGATTGTTTATCCTTTTAGGAAACAGGGTGTGTGTTTGTGTGTGTGTGTGTGTGTGTGTGTGTGTGTGTGGTTCTATGTATAACGGCTCCTAAGTTAGGAAGGCAAACCTGTGTTTTCCTCTCCCTCATCTTAATGGAATCCTACTGCTTATGATTGTATTCCATAACTTGTCATTTATTGCTCAAAACTGATTTATAAAAGAGGCGTGGCTAGAATCTGCATTTTTTAAAACCATCTGTTAAAGTGAATACCAATGAGGGCATTATTAGTACATTTAGTAAGAAATATTTTAATTGGAAAAATTGAGTTAGCAGCTGGTGGACTATAGTTTACTTTTGTGGTTACCTGCATTAGAGCCATCTGCTTAAATCACATCAGATTGCCTGGGCTCTGGAACTTGTCCATGACCTTTCCTATCACAGAGTCCAAATGAAAGGCCATTAACCATGGATGGGCTTCATATGTTGTTCCACAGTCCCCCAGAAGCTACATGGAATGTCAGAGGTTTATGCATTTTTGTGGGAAGTACATTTTTTCCATAGTTTTAATCAGATCCTCATATTTGCCCAATACCCAGAAAAGTTTATGCCACAATTTAAAAGCTGTCAGTGCACTAGAGTTGTTTCCCTAAATTTTGTGGACTTTTACACAATCCTCTAAGAAAATCTGCACAGTGTCCTTGTTTGATAGGCAGGCCTTCTTTCCACTTTATATATGGGATAGTGGAATTGGGCTGAAGGGGCAACTGGCTGTCATGTCTGTGAAGGTATAGCGTTGGGAAGATTCATAGCACTAGGCCATTGGAGAGAGGAAGTTAAAAATAATTCAGAGTTCGTCAATACTACATTTCAATATAAAATGTTTTAAGTGAGTGTTAAGTTTTTTAAAATATTTATTTATTTTATTTGAAAGGCAGAGTTACAGAGAAAGGCAGAGGGAGAGAGAGAGAGAGAAAGTAAGTCTTCCATCCACTGGTTCACTGCCCAAATGGCTGCAACGGCCAGAGCTGAGTTGATCTGAAGCCAGGAGTCAGGAGCTTCTTCTAGGTCTCCCACGCGGGTGCAAGGGCCCCAAGCACTTGGGCCATCTTCCACTGCTTTCCCAGGCCATATCAGAGACCTGGATTGGAAGTGGAGCAGCCAGGACTCGAACCGGCACCCATATGGGATGCCGGCACTGCAGGCGGTGGCTTTACCCACTATGCCACAGCACTGGCCCGGAGTGTTAAATTTTTGAAATCAAGTGCCTATCTGCTCTTAAGTGTTTTACCAAAATAGATTACTGACTTTGTAAGAAATCAGAGAGTACATACAGGAATAATAATTGGGTTGTTCACAGTCCCATTTTTCCCAAGAGAGTCCCAGTTATGACTATCACCTTGACGTAGGTATTAACAATAACCTTTTTGACTCTCAGAACTGTTCTAAGTTTTATTTTTTTCTTTTTTTAACACTTTTTTTAAAGAATTCTTTTAAAATTTATTTATTTATTTGAAAATCAGAGTTACACACAGAGAGGAGGAGAGGCAGAAAGAGAGAGGTCTTCCATCTGCTGGTTCACTCTCCAATTGGCTGCAACAGCTGGAGCTGCACCAATCCAAAGCCAGGAGCCAGGAGCTTCCTCCAGGTCCCTCATGTGGGTGCAGGGGCCCAAGGACTTAGGCCATCTTCTACTACTTTCCCAGGCCATAGCAGAGAGCTGGATCGGAAGTGGAGCAGCCAAGACTCGAACCGGCGCCCATATGGGATGCCAGCACTGCAGGCAGCAGCTTTACCTGCTATGCCACAGTGCCGGCCACTGTTCTAAGTTTCAAAAAATTTATTTTCATTTTTTGTTTGAGTGACAGAGAGAAAGAGAGCTCTTCCATCAGCTGATTTACTCCATGTATGCCTACAACAGCCAACGCTGGGCCAGGCCAAAGCCAGGAGCCCGGAAGTCAGTCTGGGTTTCCCACATGGATGGCGGGAATCCAAGTACACAAACCATCATAATGCTTCCCAGGGTACACATTAGTGGGAAGCTGGATTGGAAGCAGAAGAGACAAGACCCAAATGAAGCAGTCTGTTTCGGGACACAGGCATCAGAAGCAGTGACTTAACCACTGCACCAAATGCCTGCCCTGAAGTGTCCTGGGTTGAACAGTACACTGCATGGTTGCGGTCTGCTTGTAATGACCAACTAAGAGCTCCCTGATCTACCTGTCCCCATTCTCCATCCTCACCAATATGCAGAGGCCACGACTTAATCTTTTAGCCATTTATTTTGGTAGCCAACCTTCATATTTCTAAATAATATACTGCTCTCTCTGGTTTCATCAATTTTGGACGTGTTTATCACTTACTTTTAGCATAGATACGGATTTAATTTTCTTATACACCACCTCTCTTACCTCCCCACCCTGTACCACGTTCCCCAGAGAAGCCAAGCTTCCTTTTTCATCTCCATTCTCTGTCCAGTTCTGTTTCTTCAGAGATTGAACATCTGGCTCATGCCTGGGCAGTAGATGCCTGGCTGCCGACATGAACAGGCGCGTGCAGGAAGCATGGTCAGGGGACAGATAGCTTCTGAAAATAGACCTTGAGCAGCTCCCTGGTTTCCCTTCCCACATTGCACCTCTCCTCCCTGGCAGCTGCTGCCTCTGTCTTCCGTCTCCCTGAGGCTCTGCAGGGCAGAGTGGTTCCCTCCCTCAGAATACAGGGGTCACCATTTCTCCAGCCTCTTTTCTTCTTCAGAGTGTTATTAACATTTCTTATTTGCTAGCATGTCTTATTTTTGTGGGTCTGAAAAGTCTTTTTTCATTCCATTGTTGTGGTGGTAAGGAGAAGAGGGGTCAGTGTTGTGGCATGGCAGGTTAAGCACCACTTGGGATGCCCACATCCCATATCCCATATCATAGTGCCTGATTCCAGTCCAGGCCACTCCACTTCTGATCTAGCTTCTTGGTAATGCACCTGGGGTGTATCAGATGTCTCAAGTACATGGACCCCTGCCACCCATGTGGGAACCCAGGTGGAGTTCCTGGCTCCTGGCTTTGGCTTGGCCCAGCCTTGGCCGTTGGGAGCATTTAGGGAGTGAACCAGCAGATGGAAACTCTCTCTGCCTCTTTGTTACTTTGCCTTTCAAATAAATAAATTTTTTTTAAATCTTTAAAGAAAATACCCAGAAAAAGAAGAGTGGAAGTGGCCTACCACCTTCAGCCAGAAGCCAGTTTATTAAATTGGAAAGTTAGGGAGTTTTTTTAAACCAGAATACGTACACCAAAAGTTTTAAATTATTTTCCAAGGGGGAGAAGGGTTCTATTTGTAAAAAATTGTTTTTGAGAAGTGATAAAAATGGCTACTGGGATGACAATGCTCCACCCTGCAGGTCTGGGCCAAGCCCCCGAAGCATGAGCAGCAGCTGCCAAAAATCCGCTGCCAGTTAGATTATTGTGCAGTTGTCATTAGGGTTATGTGGAAAGTGTCCCTTTAAATTTATATTCTCTTTAAACTTGGATCTTTGGCACCAGGTAAGTAGAATAGGGAGAGACAGGTGAAGGTCCAGGCCTTGTGAAAAGTCTCCACTTAGGATCCCAGTAACTGAGCCCATCTATGTGTGGGACGATGTCGAGTCATGGCACCTCTTATCTAACAGAGATTAAAATGCATATTACTAATGAAGCAAGATACAGTTAGGATGCCGCCTATTTCAAATGCTTCATTTCAGACTCCCGCTTTGGTGCCTCCAGTGATATAAGCATTGAGAGAACTGTAGCTTTCTGTGGTCCAGCCTTGTTCCATCACCTACACCTGACCCCTAGTCACACCACACTGCCCACAGGTTCCTGGACTTCCTAGTCATTCTCTGAAACCCTCTCAGCCCCTACAGCTAATTGGTAGATTGTGTTCATAATTAAAGTAAATGTCAGTGTTTTCTGGCACGCAGTTTGCTTATCTTCCACCCTGCTAAATCGTGGGATCTTTGATGGCCCTTAGCTGTGTTTCATTTATTTATTTAATCTCTGGAACTATATTAGGCACTTAATTAGGCATTTAGTTTTGGTTATACTATAAATGTGGCCCCTTGCTATTTGGTGATAAATGTGTACAATTATTGAAAGGTGATCCTCGACCTCGAGGAGGAGAGGCAGCGGCACGCACAGGACACAGCGGAAGGAGACGACGTCACCTACATGCTGGAGAAGGAGAGGGAGAGGCTGACGCAGCAGGTAATCAGGTGGAGGGGATCCAACGGCTTTCACCCGGAGTAGCTTTCTCAGAAGTCCTGCAGGATGTAAATTGGCGGTGCTCAGAAGGGCTCTGTGGTCACATGCGTCCGAGAGCTGCTGCTTAGACAAACTTCAGCAGCTTTCTAGCTTTAAATCTGTTAGCATCTTTCATGTGCAGAGGCACATGTGAGTCTCAAAAACAGGATGGAGTCTACTCAGTGCAGAGCAAATCCATGTCTTCCGAAAATCTTCTTGGACAGGGATCATCACATGGCACCAGGGGACCCACTTCAAGGAACACCAATTTACATGTTTTGACTTAGGACCCCCAGTAAGGAAGACATTTTCTATCACGACGCAGTACGTGCGCGTGCACACATATGCACGTGCCAGAAGTGGAAGTCTCAGGAAATGATACCTTACCCTTACTGCCTAAAGTACATGTTGACGTCTTCTGTTCTAGTTCTTTTTCTAGTTCTGGCCGGGGCTCACTAAGTTGGTTTCTTCATCCACTAATGAGCCTTAGAGTTTGAAATACTTTCCCTCTCATCCCTCTCTGTGCCTTAAACAGGGAAGACAGTTGAAACAGACTACATTTGTATAGAAATTATGATTCAATGCAGTTATTTATTTTTAAAACCAGAGAAAATTATTGCGGAAACTTAAAAAATTTTGTTCCCTGCCACATGCATCACAAAATCTGGTTTATACAGCTTTCTGTTACCTGTTTTGATCGGTTCTAATGCTGTGTACGCCGCGCAAGCCTAAACCACAGTGAGTGATACATCAAATTCCCAGTCATAACGCTGAGAGGGCGTCAGAGCTAGAAGTGCCTCCTCCAGTATCAAAGCGCGTCCTGAGTGTGTGCACTTCCTGTTAGGTGTCCCGATAGCGCAGAAGTCTCCCAGTGCACGCACCACGGCGCCGGGGCGGGCCTCTGGGTCCGAGAACAGCTAACTGGCATGCTCTGCTCCACCAGAGGTTTTCCGTATGTGTTTCCTTGCTCTAATCAAAATGGTCGAATTTCTCTCCAGTTGGAATTTGAAAAGTCCCAAGTGAAAAAGTTTGAGAAAGAGCAGAAGAAGTTGTCGAGCCAGCTGGAAGAGGAGCGCTCGCGCCACAAGCAGCTCTCGTCCATGCTGGTGCTCGAGTGCAAGAAGGCCAGCAGCAAGGCCGCCGAGGAGGGCCAGAAGGCCGGGGAGCTGAGCCTGAGGCTGGAGGAGGAGAGGAGCCGGGTGAGTCAGCTGGAGGAGGAGCTGGCCGCCGAGCGGAAGCGGGGCGTGCAGACCGAGGCCCAGGTGGAGAAGCAGCTGTCTGAGTTTGACATTGAAAGGGAACAGCTGAGAGCAAAACTGAACCGAGAGGAGAACCGGACCAGAACCCTGAAAGAAGAGATGGAGAGTCTGAAGAAAATAGTGAAGGACCTCGAGGCCGCCCACCAGCGCTGCAGCCCTGAGGAGCGGCCGAAGAAGCCCGTAACCACGTCCAAAGGCACCGCAACTGAGCCCCCCATGCTGGTGTCTGTATTTTGCCAAACCGAGAGTTTTCAGGTGGAGAGAACCCACGGGAACAACTTAGCCAAGGTGACAAGCCCTGGGCTGCCTGGCCCTACCACTCCTGCTTACTCTTATGCAAAAGCCAATGGCCACTGTGACCCAGAGACACAAACTGCCAGGGAGTTGATTGCAGGCAGCAGTGTAGAAAACCAAGTGCCTCCACGAGAGAAATCTGCGCCACTGGCCCACGAGAAAGCAGTGGAGAACGGCGGGTGTCCTGTGGGGACTGAGACTGCAGTTCCAGTGGCCACTCACCTCCCTCCCAGTGGGAGCTCCCTGTCCCCCAGCAGCACTGCCTCCTCCTCGCTGACACCCTCTCCTTGCTCCTCACCAGTACTAAGTAAACGCTTGCTGGGCTCATCAGCCAGCAGCCCCGGCTACCAGTCATCCTACCAAGTAGGGATCAACCAGCGGTTCCATGCAGCTCGACACAAATTTCAATCCCAGGCAGATCAGGACCAACAAGCCAGCGGGCTGCAGAGCCCTCCGTCCAGGGATCTGTCCCCCACCCTCCTAGACAACTCTGCCGCCAAGCAGCTGGCCCGAAACACAGTCACTCAGGTGCTCTCCCGATTCACTGGCCACCAAGGGCCAATCAAGCCTGTCTCTCCCAACAGCTCTCCCTTCGGCACAGACTATCGAAATCTGGCCAGCACTGCCAACCCAAGAGGTGACACTAGCCATTCGCCCACTCCAGGGAAAGTGTCCAGTCCTCTGAGCCCCCTTTCTCCAGGAATCAAGTCCCCCACCATCCCCAGAGCTGAAAGAGGAAATCCTCCACCCATCCCGCCCAAAAAACCTGGTCTCACCCCTACTGCATCTGCCACTCCTCCACTGACCAAAACCCATTCCCAGGCATCCTCTGTGACTACCACGGAAGACCTTGCCAGCAGCTGCTCTTCCAACGCCGTGGTAGCCAATGGCAAGGACGTTGATATACTTTTGCCTACCAGCAGCTAGTCCCTAAGGGGGAAGTCTCCACATTTGACATTCCGTCATACTTCATCCAAGAGCTCAGAGTCAGACCATTGGGTCAAATCCTGTTATTTATTTTGATAGTGGCTGAAACCATCTGTATAATACATCTAGTGTGTTTTACCTTTTTGTATTTTTTTAAGTAGAAGCTGAGTAGTTTGGATTCTTAGGGTCCACATCTTTGTACTGAAGCTAGGAGACATTCTCAAGCTCAGCAGCCGCTGTCTTGTGATGGAGAAAGCGAACTGAGGAGCAGGTGGCGCTTCGCCGTCTCTTTCGGGACCAGCACCACCCGACGCTCGTTCGGAGTTATGCAGCAGTGGTTTGTGCAGATTTCCATTCCAGGTGAACATGTTTCAAAAGTGCCTGAACTAAGACTGCCGTAGGAATGCGATTCTGCAGCAGAAACGCAACACGGATCATCTCATTGCAGCAAATGAGAGCCTCTGTGAACTCTGAATGTTAAAAACCAACACTGCTTTTAATCCTCTTTTACTGATTTTAATACAAGCTTTGTGTTGTGTAACGGCTGCCTCAGTAGAACGGGAATCCCTCTGAAGGTGGGTGTAGACTCACCAGAGAGCTGAGCTGTGCGGAGCCCTGGAGAAATCCTCCCGGGCACTCAGCCGTTGGGTGCTGATCTCCTCGTACTTATGAAAAATTAAGTTACTCCCAGTCCCCTTCATACGTGCTTGAATATAATGAAATCACATCTCCATTCAGAAAATGTCTTCAAGCATCTACTGTTGTGTAAGGAACTTCTGATTCTGATTGCTGTTACTTGAATAAGAAGTGGTTACTTATTCTGTATAAAAGTTTTACAACAGAATGAAATCTTTATGCTGTAATCAAAAAGCAATAACTTAAGATTCAGTCTTTGTAATATTATAAGTCAGAATTATACAGGTGTTACCAAATTGTTACATTTATTCTCCAAGCTGCCAGCACTTGTCTGTATCTGTGGAACCAAATTAACTTTTGCCTAAATGGAAATACAGATGTATCTGTATGGACTCATACCCCTTCCTTCACATGTCGGACATACACACATACACATTAATGTTCGTGTGGTCATATCTTTGGAGTTTGCAATATAGCATAAAGGACAAGTAGAATGGCACACGTAAGATTCCCTGCCAAAGCAGCTAGGTGTGGCTGAGACCCAGCCAGAGGAAGAGGAGTCTTGTACACGGGGAGGTGGGGCAATTGTATTGGTAGGTACGTCTGCATGCAGACGCGGAAGTGAACTCACCCCAGTGTCGCAAAACCAGTCATACACATGAGTGCCACAGGCCACTCCCTCGCCTGGTGGAAAGCAGCTGAGTGGCGGGAGCTGTAGCAGACCGCTGGGCCGAGCCCCATTTTCAGAGGCCGCCCAGTCTAGCTCCAGCTGCTTCCTGTGCTGCACGACCTCTAGACCCGGAGTTACCCGCTCTTCACAGTTTTGTGAAATCCAAGTTTTCATGAGAAACATTCTCATTTTTAAATATTAAGAACCAATCCAAAAATCTTTTAAACACTGATAGTTAGATAAACACTTCTGCAGCTGGATTTAGCCTATAAGCTGCCAAGCTGCAGCCTCCTTCATTCCAGAAATTTCTGTCATTTCCATCATGTCAACGTTTGCGTGGACAGAAACCTGAAGACTTTGGAAGTGTGTGGATCGGCACAGCAGACATAGTCCGTAGACTGTAGTGGTCATCGCCCTCTTCCAAAAAGGACTGTCCGCAACCCAGCCCAGACACGGTGTTCTGTGATTTCGTGTCCACAGGCAGGGAGACATCCTCCTAGCCCACATCTGTCCAGCACTACCTGACCCGCTACAGTTGAACTCTATTTCATGTTAACCCAATATGACTGGACAGGGGAAAAGGCAGTGGATGAAACCAATGAATAAATTACAGCCCAGTAGTACACTGTTGACTCCACAGCCTGTGATTTGATTAAGACAAATATATTTGAAATGCCCCAGGGTATCTACCAAAATGATGTAGGGAGGCATCTTAAACTGTCCAAAGCAATCATGCATTGAACTTGATCCCCATGCACAACCAAAATGAACAATGGTGATGAAACAGCTAACTTTTCTAAACAGGAGGGGGCTTCCATGCCACAGTTAATACCTCTCTTGCTTTCCATGGTAATCTTACAAGTTGCATTGTGCTTCTCCTTTGTTTTGGGATTAGATGATATATATAGAGAGAGGGAGAAAGACCATAAGGATGTTTATTTCTTAGGAAGTGCACTGAATGATGTATTTCTTTTACAGTGTAATATGGGGGTGGGGATATGCAAGAGAAATGTGTATTTTTGCTAGTTGCCTATCTTCTGAGATAAATAAGCACAATCCTGCAATGGATCCAATAATCCAGTTAGAGATTATAGGTTAGTATTTAAGTTTGCTGTAGATTGTGTGTGTGTGCGTGTGTGTGCACTAGGTAAAAATTCCATGATTTACAATTTTGGTGTTAACCCATGATGAGAAAGCTATGTTACCGGTCAACAGATGATAATGATGTACAACATGTAACACAGGCAGTAACTGTTAGTCATTAATGTTTGTAAAGCCAATTGTACCATGCAGAAATCTTCATTTTTATAGCAAACTACATTAAAACAAGTTAAATCATACTGTCTGGGGGAGAAGGAGTCTTGTTTGTACAAAGCCAAGATATTGCACAATTTGGGCATATTTTCCTGAAGCGGGAATGGGTGGCTTAGAGGGAGCACCTGATCATGGCTTTGAAAAACCAGATGGACCCACCCAGGTTAGAACCCCTTTTGAACTGGGACATGGACTTTAGTTAGAGCTGGGGAAAGCCTTCTCAGGATTCCAGCCTAATTTTTAAATCATTTGGGGGTTCTGGACCTTTTGAGAATCTTAAAAAATCGTAGAATCCACCCTCAGAGAAATGAATATGACCATATGCAAAATGTGGCTGATGGCTTCACCGGATCCAGAGACCCTGAAGCTGCCTGTGACTCATGTGCCCCAGCTCAGGAATGTCTGATCTGGTCCCGCCCTCTCACTGCATGATGACTAATGCTATCTCCTAGCCCACTGCTGTTGCTGCTACTGGGCTGTCAGCAAATGCAAGTTGTAGCCAGACAAAAGCACTTGAAAAATTCTTTGATGTAAAAAGGTGTTCAAACAGTGTGGTTGTTTACATATCTTAGATTTCTAGCAGTTAAGCCAATTAATGATCTTTTCAACAAACTCTGGCTCTATCCATCTTTCCATTACAGCCTATCAGCATGTGTGATTGCCGGGGGGTGTGTGTGTGATTTACATAGAGTGCTTCTGTTCTGTAGTCCTTGAAACCGAATTCCAACTGTCTTGAAATGCTGGCTTCATAGTAGAATGTGTTTTCTTAATGATGGGGGGGAGGGGGCAATGAGCATTGTTCCACAGCAGTAATTTTTAATGTAACTGCTATTATACTAGTTGAGAAAACTTGAGAGCCCATTTACCCATCTGTTTGCATGTCAGTGGCCAATTCATTTCTAAAAGCAAAAGGAGGAGGAGAAAGGAGATTGGGTGGGGGGAGTGGGGGATCTCAAAGTTCATTGGGCTTGAGTATAACCTTGGAAGCCTGGAGTCGTGGGAACTGGGGCCTCGGGGCTGGCTGATGGCGTTTTGAGGACCGGTGCTCCATGGCCCTCATCTGTTCTTTCACAAGTTTGTTATTTGCCTCTGACCTAAAGGGAAATCTTAGCTCCTGAAAGTGGTTTGCCACACGGTCTGGGATTCTCAGTCAAGAGTGCCTCCTGGGCACCAGGTGCCGCACTGGTGGTTTCACGTTTGGATGACCTTCCTCGTCCCCCCGGGCTGCTGTGTCGGCTCAGCAGCCAGTGTACCGAGGAGGCAGATGGGGACTAGAGATTTGCACAAGGGCCCTTCGTAAGGGACAGCAGGATTTAAACCTGCCAAGGACAAGGTTAGAACAAACATAAAGTCTTAACTGGCTTCATTTGCAAGTCTAGGATCAGGCTGCCCTGCGTCCTATAAAACAGTAAGTGTTCATATGGGCTGAGCCAGGTAGCAGGTTTTCAGGCTGAAGAAAGCAGGCACGACCAAGAACAGACTGGTTGTTTCCATGTGACTGCTCAGCTGGTGGGGACAGGGAGACAGGATGGAGAAACGGCTGATTGGTTAAGATCAGGCTACTTTTTTGGTAAGGACGAAAACAGAGGGGACTGTATGATGCCATTCAAGCTGGCCTGGTTGGGAAATTTGATTTTCTGTCTCTCTCTGCAAAGCCCTCTGAAGGTCAGATAAAGTTAGCTTTTTGGCCCCCTTTCTTGGTTATTTCCTGGTCTGCGTGGGCCTGGTACAGGAACCACATCCAAAGCTGTGGCGTCATGTCATGGAACAGAGGGTATTTCTCCAGTGAGCTGTCTCCTGGGACACTTGTTAAACATGCAGAGTCCCAGGCACCTCCCCTGCCCAGTCTGACTCAGAAGGCCAAGGTGGGGCTCTAGATAAGTGCCTGGGTCAGTCTTAAGATACAGCAAGTTTTAAAAGCCCTGCTGGACACCACACTGCTCCACCTGCAGCCGGAAGTGGATTATCAGACAAAACCAATGCCTGGAAACCTTGATCGGGTCAGACAAAACCAAGACATCTTTGTTGTGAATTCCCCGAGTATCCAAAGATGAGTCAGGAAGGCAGGCAGCTATTAAGACACAAGTGTCAGCCTGTTCCCTGCCCGCAGGGTCCTCACAGTCCAGCAAAACAGCAGCACAGACCACGGCTTGCGAGGATCACCGAGTGAGTGCAGCAAGCCATGGGGAGTCACTCAGGGGGGTCCTGGCGGGCCACTGTGGTCACGCCGAGGCAACAGAGCTCTGTGTGGGCCGGAAGAGGCTAACTGGAAAAAGAGCAAGTGCCCTCTGCTAGGTGTTGCCTTCCTGGAGTCGTGCAGTGGCTCTGCCTTTGCTCCTTTCCATGGGCTTATCTTGATGCTAGGATGAGGTCAGAGACAGTGGCACCAGAAGTCCCGCTTGAAGGGACCAGACAGACAGTGTGGTTTCTACAAGCCCTGGGGCTGGTAGAAGCAGGAGCTCCCAGAGGCAGAACTCGGCGAGTTGGGCAAGGACCCTGTTGCCAAAAGGCCATGTTCCCCATCCGCATCCTCTCCAGGGTCCCTCTCTTGGTCACATCCTCTCACTCTAAGCAGATGAGAACGATGAGGAGTAAGCCTTGGAAAGGAGCGCGTAAGCCCTCGTGGCACACGTGCAGGTGATGACTCCTTCCTTGCGGGGGGTGGGGGGCAGCTTCTCTGCTCCCCGCAGCATCTGTGTGTGTGTTGCTGCTGCACTGGGGGAGCACCCCACTGTGACACGGCCGGCCCCGAGGAATTCTGGGGAAGCATGTCAAAGCGAGATTCTCCTCCTCTCCTCAAAGTGGCAAGAACCCTGCTCAGGACACAATGGAGTAGACGCTGGAATGTGCCAGCAGCTCACCTTAGGGCATGAAGGGGGCCAGGGATGCTGACAGCGAGGGGCTCCCAGTGACAGCCCCTTCCCATCTCACACTCGGCTCCCACCCAGTTTATACCTGCCTCCTGGTCCCAAATCGGGAGAGGTCTCAAGGTGCATCCAGCTTCAAAACCCCCGGTCCCGTGGGCTGCAACCTTTACCAAGGCCGAATTACAAGGCAGCTTCTCCCTCTGCCAGTCCTGTTCTCTCCGCCTTGCGCTCCCTGGGGGTGGGTCCCGCGGTGCTGCCAGGCCGGCCTCCTGCACCCTCCTGTCCCCCTGAGTCTACTCTGTTCCTGGGTAGGGCCTCCAAAGGAGAGAGGACACATTTTCTGAGTAGTTACCCGGGGCCTGGCTTTCAGCCAGGGGTTTTACACACGTTACTCCATTCAGTCAGCACAACCTCCAGCCCACTTGACAGATGAGGTTACTGAGGCCTGCTGAGACACAGTGCGCGACCCGAGCTCCTGCAGCAGAGCAGGGCCGAGAGTGTAACAGCTGAGACTCGGGTCCCTCCCCTCACCGGCCACACTGTCGCCTCAGAACCATAACAATATATTTGAGTCATTTAGAATATTAGTTTGGGGCAGGTCTTTGGCTCAGCAGTGACGTCACTGCTCAGAGCAGCTGCATCCCATCATCCCATATTGGAATGCTTGATCCAAGTCCCAACTGCCCTGTTCATGTGCTCCATGGGAGGCAGTGGAAGATGGCCCAAGGACTTGGGTCCCTGCCACCCATGTAGGAGACCTGGACTGAGGCTTTGGCCTGGCCCAGCCCTGGCTGTTGGTGGGCATTTGGGGGGTGAACCAAGAGATGGAAGATTCTCTCTCTGCATTTCAAGTAAAATGAAAATAAATTTTTTTAAAAAAATAGATAAAATGCCCATTTATTGCCAGCCACACACCTAAGCAAGAATCCACTGGCCAAAGCCAGTCTGGCTCCCTCATTCCACCTCAGCCGACTGCTGCGCCCTCGGTGCACCTGGTCCAGCAGTCCCTTGCTCTGCCCTGGACGCGCCCCTGGGCGTACCCTCCTGTCACCTGGCTTCTCCACAGTGTCTGGCTTTGATCTTACTCACCCAGCTGCCCCATATCCCAGGCCTTGCCCTCTGCCTGCCATACTTGTTGCCATGAAAATCCTGCCCTTACGTCCCCGAACTGGTCCGCCAGCCGGGGTGAGGGTGGTGGAGCTTCCGCTCCCAGGCTGAATCGGTGCTGGGACGCGCCTGCTCGCGGGGCACGCCAGGAAGCCACGGAGCCTCCGTCCCCTCCCTCCCTGCCCTCGAGTCCCTCACTGGCCACACCTGCCTGTGGAGGAGAGGCCACCTCATCTTCCTCCTCCTCCCCCAGCGGAGCTCAAACAGCCGGCTCTCCCAGGAGAAGGTGCAGTGCGCCCCCCCACTCCAGCCCACGCGGCCCACACCTCAGCGGCCCTCCAGGCAGATAGGGCGCTCTCGGGATGCCGGGTGGGGGTGGGGGTGCCCGCAGCACACAGGCCCCTTCTTCATGCCTGCGTGTTTTCCCCGTCGTGCGCCTCGGTGAGTCAGCGCCCCAGGGCCACACACAAGGCCCCATTCAGAGCTCGTTTTCCTTCTGCTCTCACTCAGATCTTGGCTCTGCGCACTCCCTGGCTCTCTATGTGGGCCTTATTCTCACCATGGGAAAGCGCTGCTCCTTGCCCTGTGCCGCCTCCCTCCCGACACCCACACATTCCTCTTCCTGGCCCTCTGGGGAGTTGGCAGTCCCGGCTGCATTCAAACCGAATGGAAACGGCACACTGAAAGCCTCACCCGCGGAGCCTGCAGGTTCTGTGCAGGCCCTGAGCCAGGCGGAGGCCGCAAGGCGCGCACACACACACACACACACACACACTCACACGGCCGCGCTGGCTGCGTGGACTTTCTAAGGGCTGGGATTTACACAGGAAAGGCGAGTCTAGAGACTTGAGCTGTACCAGAAGTGAAGCATATGGGGATGTGCAAACAGCTGGACCAAGACAAGCTGTTCAGAGTGAGAGCTTTGTCATTGTCTGCGGGCCCTTGAGCAACCGAGGGAACCTCTGCTGGCCTCCATCTGGGCACCCCAAAGCGGACCTCCCCCTTGGGGGTCCCTGGCAAGCGCCTGGCACAGAATAATTCCGCAGGGGACT